ACCCTATTAATCCAGGGCTGAAGAAAAGATTGAACCTAAAAAGGAGACAGTTGCTGTCAGTTGGTGCTGTTGGAAACTAACGTTACAGCATCGTTGTAAATTAACTAACGTTAAACAGCATTAATGTTTTATGCTAGCTGCACACAAAGTTGTTTATTAATGCTAGCTAGCTTAGCTATCCGTTCATTCAGTTAATTTAGCTAACCCAGCTAAAAAGCTAACGTTAGCCAATGACTCTTCAACAGTTTTAGCCATTTTAAGAAGTTAAAACCCGGTCAAAACATTCCGATGTGACGATGTTAACAAGCATTACACCACTATTAAAAACAATCACACTAAACTGTTTGACTGTAACATCGTTCAACTTACTGTTATAAACTCTTTCCACAAAGCCTCCAGTCCGAACTGATCCAAAGAAAGAAACAGTTCGCGCGCTCGTTCCGACGAGTCCGGGCCAGAACTATTATGATTCCGCCGACTGATGGAGGCTCACGCCCGATCCTGAGTGCACACAGACTACATGCGGGCCGTATCCGGAACGGGGCAGTAAAACGGGCGTGACTGTTACACGGATCTGCCGGTTTGGAGGCGGATTCGGCCCAGAGTCAGCTGCTATCTGGGGAGTTTCTTTCAGAATATAATATACCTGTTACAGCTGGAGACTATGCAAAAGATTCTGGTGCAACATCCTCCAGAGTCTGTACGCTGTTCAAATCTCAAACAAGGGTCGCTGCACAATTGCCGCTGTTATGACACTCCATCCATCCATCCATCCATCCATCACTCCATCCATCTATCCATCCATCACTCCATCACTCCATCCATCCATCACTCCATCCATCACTCTATCCATCCATCCATCCATCACTCCATCCATCATCCATCCATCCATCACTCCATCCATCTATCCATCCATCACTCCATCACTCCATCCATCCATCACTCCATCCATCACTCTATCCATCACTCCATCCATCACTCCATCTATCACTCCATCCATCCATCCATCCATCCATCTATCACTCCATCCATCCATCACTCCATCCATCCATCCATCTATCACTCCATCCATCCATCCATCCATCCATCACTCCATCCATCCATCCATCACTCCATCATCCATCCATCCATCCATCACTCCATCCATCCATCCATCACTCCATCCATCCATCCATCCATCCATCCATCCCGCGTACAGGGTCGCGGGGCTGGAGCCAATCACAGCTGACAGCGGGGTAAAGATGGACCCTTCTCAGGGGCGGCGGCTTCTATGATCGCGCGAGAGCCTGTGGGGTCGCGAGAATACGGCCGTCCACGAGTTCTCATATCTGAAGAGCTCCGACAGTCACAAAGGAGACCTGCTGGATCTCAGAGACCAGGACCACTACAAGAGCGGAATGGAGGAGGACAACCAGGACCCGGAGCCCCGGAGCAACAACGTCCCCGGAGGACAAACAGCAGGCTCGAGCTCTGATAGCACCGATGTTCAGGTCAGTGTTCATGAACACAGCTAGCAGCTAACAAGAAGCTAACGTGGCGTTAGCTCGGCCTGGTTCCGACACGTAGCTTCATATTGACTGTAAACAAGATGTAATGTAGCAGGATTCAACAGTGGAGCCATCAGAACCCCGTATCTCTACAGAACCCACACTTAATGTGACGGTCGCAACCGGAGAGGAGGAGGAGGAGGAGGAGGAGGAGGAGGAGGAGGTCTCTTGTAGCATGTAGCCTGCTGATGTTCGCCTGCTAGTTAGCTAAAACTGGACAAAGGTGAAGATGGCCGTACGCGGGAGCGCGCGCACTCCTTATATTTACAGCTGCTTTCATCTGGATCAAACAGACATAAAGTGCAAATAAACATCACTTTGTGTCCGTGGTAATAGCAAATGTCTTTGTCTGACGTGCTACTAATGACGACTCAGAATGGGCGAGTGTCTGAAATTCAGAAAGCCAGAGATACGAACAAATTGGCAGACGAGACTGAGGGCAGTGGCTCTGAGGTTAGTACAACAGGCTGATCGGCGTGCGAGCCGGTGTTATGCCGAGTTTTGCCTGCCTCTCGAGAAGTGCATCCACCTCCAAATAATGCTTTTAAACACTACAATAGTCTTTGTGGGCTTCATCAATGGTGATAAATGATTCGAAGTATATATTTTATGAACGTTTAGAGTCTTTAATATTTTAATGCACTTAGTAGAAGTACCATTCCTTGACATTCAGTAAATAGAGCCTATGTGGTGATAACGCTGTTTGATAAATGATGGTGGATGCATAATTCAGCAGATCAAATTTTGTAGGCTACCTGCCGAGATTTGCATCCACCTCATTTCTCAGCATAAATGCACCACTAGGTGCCTGCAATTCTCTGCAGGCAGGCAGAATTCGGCAGCAGTCACACTGGCGAGCAATAATGGAACAGCAGAGCTGGAAGACCCGCTGCAGGTTACTGGTCAGTTAATGTTACAACAGAGAGACAGGTGTGAATGAGACGAGGACCATGTCTGTGTGTCGGCGTTGCGCCGCTGTTGCTAACGTTATGTGAATGGAAACATTAAACTTAGTTTACCGATCACGAGAACGAGGGAAAACAAACCAGAGCCCCACTGCTTTCAAGCCAATACTATATAACATTATTTTTCAAGCAGCCTTTAGATGCTTTAGAAAAACAGAACAGGATGAATAATCACTGAAGCAATTAGCATATTATATTACATTAACTTATCTAGCCAAGGTGTAACTGACTGCAGAAACTCATACCACACAATTTGTTTGTATTTTTGATTTCACCCCTTAAGAGTTTTGGTGCACAAATATTGTATTCATTTCATAGGTGTCATTTACACTGTGGATACTGGGGACATGTCTCCATCACTTCTTTTTGTTTTTTTCCCCAAAGTTTTGTTAAATATCTTCTAAAAATGGCTTGCAACAAGAAATATAAGTACTTTGAGAAAGGTTTATTTGCACAATAAGATTGCATTGTTCAAAAAAGTTTATTTGAAAAATCTGAATCACTTTATTTAAGTAAGACAATTCTACCATAAATTGGTGCAGAAATGTCTCCAGAATGGAGGAAATTAAGTGTTTAGTGCTCAAAATTTCCTAGGGGGCTCCCATTTAAATATATTTCCACATTGAATATTTTATCAAATAGTGTTAAAATATCTTCTTGTCTTCTTGCCAATATTGTGAATCGTGCATGTGAGCTAAGTGTATCGTCACACCCCTAATCTGAACCCTTATGTCCCCGCCACTTTTTAACACAGTGACGTCCTTGATTCATATCAAAGTACAAACACACCCAAGCTATAGTGTTAAATATTAATGTGTTATAATAAAATGTTTTATTAAATTCATTTAACTTTGTAAATAATTTTCTTGGGCTTAAAATAAATACAGATTTTCCATTAAACAGCAGTGAAGTTGGTATTTAATTTCATCCTAGGTGGTCTTAAAGGTCTTAAAAATCTTAAATTTACTTTGTGAATCCTGGGGGTGCCCTGATTAGGTGAACAAGGTTTACTATTCAGAATGAACACCAGTATCAACGCCAGGGGGAAACCAGGGAAGAAGACAAGACGGCGTAGGCTACTCACGTAATTCACTGATTTGTTCAAACCTAACTTTTAACAAAGATTTTTGCTTAGGAACTATATAAAATAAAAGCACTTTAAAAACAAGTACTATAACCACAACTGTACAATGTAATGTCTGTTTAGAACAATAAAGCTGCAGTCCCCGTTCGTACTACTTCTGTAGTTTATTTTCAAAGTTTTAGGCAAGACCTCAGATGTTCCTTGAGTTACTTTAAAGGGGTACTTTGCAATTATTACACTTTTTGTTAAATTTGGCAAATATTTCCAAAAAGTTAAAACTCCCATCTGCTATTTATATAATAAAATAGATACTGGCGTCCGTGTATCGATACAGTATTGCCATGGCAAATATCACGATTTTATGCTGTATCGATTGTTTCCCCCACCCTAGCTCAAGAGAGAAAATATAAACAAACATTCGAACATGCTGGACTTTAGCTGTGAAGATGACTGAGAAACAGCCACAGAGGTAAAGGTCTGAGGACTGAGAGACAAGTTATATGACCGGGCGAGGGGAAGACACGTGTTAACATCTGTGAGGGGTTTCAATGCTGGATAAATCTACGAGATTTGAAAGGAATGAAAACCGACGCTGAGGTTGCTCTGTTTCTGCCTGGCAGGTGAGTAAGCTAGTATTAGCTTTGCTGTTCCACATAAACGACGGTTCAGTATTACAGTCTTGTCTGTTGTCATGTTTGTGATGATCCCAGCTGGTTAGCTTTGTTAGCTTAGCCGCAGCGGTCAGTGTGTGTGCGGTAGAGGAGGAATATATGGAGCGCGTGTGTGAACAGAGAAACGGGTCAGCACCTCGTTCAGCAGTAAATGTACAGTAGAAGTTAGAGGCTGGTGAATAAAGACTGCAGCTTCTCTGGACTAAAGAGGAGCTCCCGTGTGTTGCTGCCAACTGTGTAATAAAGAGTGAAGGAGGTTTGCCCTAAAGTTAGCACTGACTTCAGCCCTCACTGTATTTTTGTAAAATCTATTTCAAATAACTTGCTACTTTTTTACTCTGTTGTGTTTTGGATGCTGCGTCTGTGTGCTTACATGTCGTTTTTTTTTTGTTCGCTAATTGTAACTATCGGTCCCGGACAGCCAACCAGTCACGCCCCAGAGCACTCTGGTCCCGGTTAAGTTGCTTTCAGGCCAAAAGCGAAGCGAGCATTCGGGGCGGTGAGTTTACATACAAAGTGGTTTCCTGTCGGGCGGGCGAAGCAACGCACAGTCATAGCCACCTGCTGGCAACAAGAAGTGACCTTTAACGAAGCAGCCCCCGCTGCACGTTTCACCTACATGGATGAAATTTCTGTGGCACATGTATCATGTCCAGATGTGTCAAAAAGCCTCTTGGAGCGATGCCCTAAACCCAACAGGAAGTCGGCCATTTTGAATTTTACGGCCATTTTTGGATGATTTACACACTCCGTACTTTAACGAACTCCTCCTAGGCGTTTAGTCCGATCGACTTCAAATTTGTGCTGTGCCTTCTAAAGGCATTGATGATGAAAAGTTGTGCTATCTGTGAGTTTTTGTCAATGGGCGTGCCTGTGGCGTGGCGTCAAAGATCAAGTCTTTGCCAGGCTCACACCCGGACGCGCTACAAGTGCGAGGGCCCTCGCAACGCTGATTGTAAGCCTATTTAAAATCATATTTGATTGCAGAGCGCCGTAGCGCATTCGCGCAGCACTTCCTCTCACTCGTCCCTCTCTCTCTCACACTCACCCGTACACCTCTCTCTCTCCCACCCACATGGAAAACAGCTCCACAAATCTGTTCAACACAACACCATCAATGTCGGAGACCCGGCTTAAAAAAAAGTTATTAGCAAGCATGTAAGGAGCTAGCACACTGTATATCACAAGCTGGTAGTCAATATCAATGCACGCACACGCGAAAATTTGAAGTTGATCAGACTAAATCCCTAGGAGGAGTTTGTTAAAGTACAAAGTGTGTAAATTGCCAAAAATGACCATTCAAATGACTTGTTGGGTTTAGGGGATTCAATTCACAGATGGGTCAATGTTTGTGAGAGAAACGGAGCAAGAAGAGGCGCTGATTGAAAATATGCGAAAAAAATAAAAATGAATATATGTGGCGGTCAGCGTTGATAATGTGGCGAGCCGCCACAAATTAATCAATGTATGCGAAACACTGAATTATATATTAACATTGACAAGGGGAATAGGCCATTTCTCTCTGTGATAAAGACGATCTTCTAGCTAAAGCCATCAGTTTTCATTTGGACTAACTTACCTGTCCAGCAGAACACAGGCAACTTTGCTTTGAAAGCGCTTTCCACCTGGGAAAATCCTCACTGATGTTTAGCTTCATTATATTTTTGCTTCTTTGATGAAGATTCACGCTATTCCAGCTCGTGCTAAATAATGTGTATGGTCCTCCATATGTACAAATTTCGGTCTTACCATACAGCCCTGACAACATAGTTGTGAGCAGATTAAAATATCGCTGTCTGCACGATCCTGCTCGTCATACTGATGCAGTAACAGCCTTTTACCAGAGCTGCTGGTTTTGCACTGCACTTAACGGGTGTAGTTATGGTCCGCTGGTGTAATCTACACTGATCTCCGCTAACTAGCTGCGCGGTGTGTATTTGAGGAGCTCTGCTGAGAGAGTAGGGGCGGGGCTGCAGCGTGGCGGCTTGCTCGTTCTAATGGCTACATGCGCACAGTAGGCAGTGATATTACTCGTGAGGTGTTAACTGGAGCCCGACCGATATGGGTTTTTGGAGGCCGATGCCGATTTATGAGCCGATATTTTGATTTTGAGAATGATTTGGATACTTTACCTTTTACTGTATAAACTACACTTAGAACAGGCCGATATTGAAAGCTGGTATGTATGTGGGCTATAAAACCTTTTCTTAAATGGATTGTTAATAAAATAGATTAGTCTCAAAGTGAACATGTAAACAATTTCACATCAATAAATATTTGCTACTGGCTACTGGAACTTTTTCAGCTGTCTGTAAAGAGTGAGAGAGAATAAGCATGTTGTGACGGTTCGAGTGCACAGGTTTAATTATTACTATTCGGGGTGGCAGCCAGGTCTCTCCCCTGGCAGTGAGATACTGGTCAACTGTTTTTAAATCAGATGTCACAAAGGATATTTCAAAAGAACGTACACCCTCCCACTGAATGACCATAAAAGAAAGAAACACCACAAACTCAAAAGCTTAGCACAAAACAAAATGTTGGTGTATTTAAGATTTCACACAAAAACACAATTGCAAAGTAAAGCACAATCCAACTGAAAATTCCACTTCGGGTTTTCTGCACACTTAAACCAAACAATCTCAAACACAAATTAGTGGCAGTTAATTTCCAAAACACAAAAATATATTCAGTCCAGTGTCAAAGCAAAAAAAGATGAATAAACCTGGTTCAGTTTCTCAGTCACAAACAAAAACAAAATGTCATAGTACAGAAGAACCCAGTCCGGGTTTTTGCTGCTGGGTTGTGAATGTTTTACCAGCTTCCGCAAACAATTTGAATGATGATCCGAAGGTGTGTCGGAGTGGCGATCAGGAGTAACGGGATTAACCCTGTTTGCCGGTCGCTCTATGGCCACTTTGAACAGCCCCGTTCCTGAAAAACAAGAGCGAGATGCGCCGCCAGCAGCGGGATCGGTAAGAGAAGACGACGGGGAAAATTCAAGGAGCGTGTGGGTTTGGCTAACGTTAGCTGACTATTTAGCTAAAACTTAGTGTACTATTAAATTAACAATATACTTTCAATTTAATGTTATACAAATACAGTCATTTAGACCAGTTCCTCCTCCAGGTTGTGCCTGTGCTACACCGCCAACAGTACTAACATTATTCGTCACTCAGTTTATTTTCTTCATCTTTGTTCCCTTGTGGCCTATTTCAATTTTGTTGTATTGAACAAGTGGACGGTGAAAGTAATCACACGTATCATTGCAGGCAAGCTCACATTATCTAGTTTAAACCAACTAAAACACAAAATCACACTGTGGTTCACATGATTTGCTGTAATACTGCGTACATAAACGTCATAGCTTTTTGCAGGAAATCTGACCAGTCCTTCATATAGAAAACTGCTGGTCCATACAGGCTGTTACAGCAACTGAGAAAGTTGGTGAATGCCTCAATTTTTAGGTGGCGTTACAACCTTATGATATAGGCAATAAATGTTATAAATAGACTTAAATTCTGTCTTATTGTCTTATTCGTCAGTTCCAAAACAAAGCAGAGGGCTCTCCGTGATTCAAGCCCTTCTGATGTTGACAGTGTTTTCACTCAAAGTCGATCTCATTCTTGTTTGCCCTGAAGGGCTTCAGCACATAGAACTATATTGTTGTTTTTATCCTTATGTGGAGTTTGTTTTGGGAGCCGGGCGTTTTCTGGTGTTCTACATGTTGTTAGCTGCGCTGGTGTTGCTGTGTACACGGAAAGTGCTTGAATGTAACAGCAAATGGATTTTGAGGAAATGTTTGCGTAGGATCGGGTGTACTGGCCGTCAGAGGCAACAGGAAAAAAAACAGGCAAGGGGCTCGTTTTTTGTGAGGTTACAACCCCTTCACACAGGCAATAAAACAAAAGTGATTTATTTAAGTAAACTACATATAGCCCCTTTAATCTTAATAATTAATCTTTAAAGCCCCCCTCCAGTGTTGTATTTTGACATTTCCATGATATTTCATGTTTTTCTGAGTCATTTCCTTACAATGCTGATTGCCCACATAGTTTGACAAATGTTTTTTGACAAATAGATTAATTTTGTGTTCAAACTTGCAAAAGTTGCTTGGTTGTTAAAACGGGGTTGTGACGTATGACTATAGTAATTCCATAAGTCATACGTCATTCTCCAAGCTTGCGTAGGCGCACTGTCACGCCTCGTTAAGTCAGAGCATCAAACCGATAAACATCGTTGTGAGCTAGCTAACCAATTTATCATGTAATTTACTTAGAACTTACGTTAAGTATGTCTCTGTGTCTGAATGTTGTTTTGCCTTTCTAGTTAACTAAGTTGTACTTAGCCAGATGTAGTTAGCTAGCGTAGTTATTGCAGAAAGTTGGCTAACATAGGGTCTTCATTTTATTTTTTAGTTTCCTCCCATTGGTTTTCATTTGTGCGTGCGGTATTGGAGGAGAGCTGACAGAAAACGCGTTGCACTTTCACCTGCTACCGTCTTATATACAGTCTGCAACATGCATTTTGCTGACGACCGTTTTACCAATGCATCTGCGGAGGCACCCCCCACACCCCGCGGTAAAGTAAGCACACCATAAAACGTAGTGAGTTATCGTGTGCAGTGCGTGACAGGACCATCGACTGTATGATTGATAACAGCTGATACGCGCACATTAGTTTCTGTCATGGGTAAGTAATGGCTACTCCTGCCAGACAGTAAAGTGTACTAAACTTTACAGTGTAGTGACAGCATATCGTTAGCGAACACTCCAGCTGGTCAGTTTTTGGTTGTCATGGTAATGTATTATGTCCAACTATTAACCACACCCCCATTCTCTGTTTGAGAAAGAACATTAACCAAAATCGGTAGTTAAAACTGGCTGGAGGGGGCTTTAAGTGAATAAAATTGTCATTAGTCAATTTGAAAAAAACATTTGTTTGAAGCCCTTGTACAAGGAAATTTTTTTTACAGTCAGGATTGTATGAGATTAAGTGTGTTGTACAGTATATGCTACTTACAAAGTCAACATTACATTCAAGTTATATAGAGAAATAACTATTTTACATGGTGCGGTGCTGAACATAAATTTAGGAGTCTCAGCTTGAGGGAAGAAGCTGCTCTGCAGTCTGGTGGTACGATCGGGTGGCAGCAATGTGAACAGGCTGTGGCTTTGGGTACTTACTGTCCTCTAATATCATATGTGCTCTGCAGGCACCCCATCTCACCTTACCTCGCTAATGCTTGGGAGATGGGTACCAATGAACTTCTGAGCAGTTTAACCAACTGCTGCAGAGCCCTCTGCTTCACACTCTTTTTGCTTTATTTTGCTCTTCTGTAAAAGCTTACAAGAAGCTGGGATTGGAAATCTTCAAGTTACTTTAATTTCTATACTTCCAGTTCATAACAGAAGTTATGTCATTGCACTTTTCATACGGAGCTAAATTTTGGGTTAGCATACTGTTACAGCTTCTGCTGCAAAATCAACTTGAAGCTAACATGCAGAGAGGAAAGACAGTATCCTGTCGTAATAGCCAACATCATTACAGCAGGATGTCTTGGTGAACTAGAAAGTAAGCTGAATGTCTGTGGTTAAGTCATTGTGAGGAGATTTTCACAAAAATATGTGTTGTGGATTAGAATTGCTAACCGCCTCTTTAAGGCATGCTTGAAGTTTAGCTAACTGAGGGGAACAAGATCGGTCCAAGCACAGGACCTTGTTGAACTTGTGACTAACTTTGCTGTGCACGTAGGATTGGTTAAAACATACAAACTGAGATCTGTCCGATAATTAGAACTCTAACCAGCTTAGAGCGGTTCCTTTAATGCCATTTCCCCAGGTCCCTCTGTGGACACATTGTGGGTTATGTTCCACAGACATGCTCTAAATGTCATTTATGGTTCAGGAGGACGTCTCACTTATTGTCTTTCTCTCTGTTTGTCTGTCTGTGCTATAGAAACGGAGAGGAGAGGGACCCAAACGTCACCACTGTCAGCACTGTGACAAATCCTTCACATGCCCTACATATCTAAAGCTTCATCTCAGACTTCACACTGGAGAGAGACTGTACGTTTGTGACCAGTGTGGGAAAGCTTTCATTCGCAAATTTAACCTAAATAAGCACCATCTTATTCACAAAGGGGAGAAACGGCACTGCTGTGACCAGTGTGGGAAAGGTTTCATTTCACTAGGTGAATTAAAAAGGCACAATCGTGTTCACACTGGAGAAAAACCATACCGTTGTGACCAATGTGGGAGAAGTTTCAGAATATCAAGCCACCTACATGTCCATCGACGTATTCACACTGGGGAGAAACCGTACAGCTGTGACCAATGTGAGAAACGTTTCACTAGATCAGATAATCTAGTAAAGCACAGACGTGTTCACACTGGGGAAAAACCGTACTGGTGTGACCAATGTGGGAAATCTTTCACTACATCAAGTAACCTAGATGTCCATCGACGTGTTCACACTAGGGAAAAATCCCACTGGTGTGACCAATGCGGGAAAGCCTTCAGTACCTTAAGTAGCCTAAAGAAGCACAGTCTTCTTCACACTGCGGAGAAACAGCACTGTTGTGACCAATGTGGGAGAAGTTTCATTTTTTTAGGTCACTTAAAAAGGCACCATTGTGTTCACACTGGAGAAAAAACGCACTGCTGTGAACAATGTGGGAAAGCCTTCACTACATCAGGTCAACTAGATGTTCATCGACGTGTTAACACTGGGGAGAAACCGTACTGCTGTGACCAATGTAGGAAAGATTTCACTACGTCAAGTGATATAGTAAAGCACAGACGTGTTCACACTGGAGAGAAATCGTACTCGTGCGACCAATGCGGGAAAGCTTTTTCACAGCGTCGTCACCTTAAAGCCCACAAATGCATTAACTCTGCTTCGTTTTGAAAAAAATTTCAGAGCCAAGCAAGCTGTTCCCTCCTCTCCCCTCATGCCTCGATCGCGTGTTCATTTACAATTCAAATTAATTTAGATGGCGCCAATAACAACAGTTCTCTCATTGCGTTTCATAAAGAGCAGGTCTTTTTTCAAGAGGCAGCAACCTCGTGCAGAACCATTAACCTGTCACAGTATATGAAAATTTAGTGAAAATGCTGAGATTATGTTAGTATGATGTAGGCCTGGGCGAAAAATCGATTGAATGAATTAATTCGAATTTTCTGTTGCGGGCGATTTAAAAAATAAGTAAATCGAGTTTTTGTGTAATAGCACATTTTTGGCTCCCCGGGGTTTCCGTAGTGTTCGTTTCCCATAGCGACAACATCATACACTAAACAGCAACAGCAAGCGACAAAATGGCTACCGGTGAGAGCGGGAAGTTTGTTCCCAAGAAAGGAATAAAGTCATCTGTTGTTTGGAACTGGTATGGGTTTGCTGCGACAGATGTGGAACAACAGACACCACGCTGCAACATTTGCCTAAAGCCTATCGCAGTGAAAGGCAGCAGCACCACAAACCTATTCCAACACCTGAAACAGAGACATCCAGCCAAATATGAAAATGCCAGTCTCTCCGCGATGAACAAAGCCGCACTGACCAACAAACCTTATTGCTTTCCTTAAGTAGGGGGGAAATCGGAAAAAATCGTAAATTGAATTAAAGTAAATAAAATCGGAGATTTTATTTTTAGGCCATATCGCCCAGCCCTAGTATGATGTTACTATATTACTAAACGCTGACTTGAGTAACATCAGGTACAGTGCAGCTGACCTGCTGCCCAGTCGCGCATTCACTTCAAGGAATGATGCGTTCAGTAACTCAGTACCGCAGCGCTTCTTGGATTACCAACTGTAAAAATGTTTTGGAAATAGGAATCTGTTATTACCAGTTACTGGGAAAATGAGTAAACGTAAAATGAGAAAAGTAAGATTAGTAAAGTTCCAGCCCAACACTAACAGTGGGCCTAGCTATGAAATAAAATTTTAATTTAATGTTAGAATATTATACTAATTTACGGATTCTGTGCAACCAAAATAAAGATTTATTATATATTAACAATTAAATAATACTCACAAATGGCAGGTTGATGATTTAGATGAAGAAAGTTAGTTGGTAAAGATGGCCGGCCTCACATGCTCCTCCCACGGGTTGGCACATGCTCCCCCCCCGCCGCCACTTGGGGGGGCTCCTCAACTTTGAAAACTTCCAAGAACATTTTTGTTCCGCCATCACTTTTCGTAAAACTGTCAATATTTGCAATCTACACAGTTGATTTCTCACCTCAAACTTCTCAGAAGTAGATTTAGTGCTGAAATAACGTGTGAAATGTGAAACTTTCTGTTGCTGGCCCTCTGTCCGGCGTGCGCAATGATGACGCAGTGAATAGTGACGATTCTCTCGGACCAATCAGCAGTCTGCCGTGTTTTTACGTCACGTTAGTATCACCTCAGCTCGCATGGAACCTCGACAGAGGTGATACGAAAAAAGGTACCAACAGGTACAACTTTTCCCCGATGGAAAACCAAAAACAGCGAGTACAGTCAAGTGAAGTCGGCCGCTACCATTCAGTGGAAAAGGGGCTTTACACACTAACCGCACCCCCCCAGAAATTCAAGAAATTATTGTTTTGTAAGGACCTGAGCACAAAACATGCAAGGACTCTATTGAAACTGAAGGATTTCTTCTTTTTTGTGGGCGTGTAAAATGGCTCGCTAGCGCCCCCTAATGAGCGTACGAAATATCTGTGGTACATGTCTAGACATACAAGAAAAGCCTCCTAGAGCAATGCCTGACACCCAACTGGAAGTCGGCCATTTTGGATTTAATGGCCTAGAGAACTAGTAAAATCGACTTCAAATTTACCCTGTGCAGTTTAAGCTCATTTCTGATAAAAAGTTGGACTAACTAGTGCTGCACGTTTTGGAGAAAATGTCATATTGGAATTATTGTGGTCAATATTGTAATTCATGATTCAATTAAAAAAAAATCTTTTAATTCTTGTAAGTAATATTTCGGGCACTATTCAACCAGCGCTACAATGGAGTATTAGCTCACCGTCCAGTAATCTGCCAAGTTTTTTTCCTCAAGAAATTGCTTGGTAAATAAAATATTAAACAATTTTCAGTTTATTATCACACAAAGAATCAGCCAATATTCTGTATATAACTGAAGCTTGAACCACAGAATGTTTTTAAACACATTTTCCTCCTTGAGTACTATTTTTTTTTTTTTTTTTTTTTTTTTAATCTGTATTCACTGTTTTTATTTGATTTTGTTTAGACATTATTGGGTCAATATATGTCACTGATACATTTTACATGCTGGAGTTTGTTTCCTGATGTATTTGTTAGATGTGTCCAGTTGTGTTTTTGGGGTTGTGGCTTTGATGAGTCTTTACTGTGTATCTCTGAAGTGGTGGAGGTTTCCAAGATTTCATGTGGACCTTTTCTCTCAAATAGCTTCTCTCTTGCAAATATCAATAGAAGTGATTACCAGAGAGACCAAATCTATTAGCTGTATCTTTAGTCCACTCCTTCTTTTTCCTTCATTTCTTGTTCCTTTGATTACTTTACATTTTCTTCTCCGGATTTTAAATGTGTTAAATGCATATAGAGTAGTAGTGTATTTTGATCTGTTGTTGAATGTTATTTTGAATCTGTTGAGGTTTGTTCAGACTGAAAGCAAAACCAATTGTAGTTGTACATGTCGGCTCAAGTCTAAAATGTTTCAGCTTAAATGAGAAATTCAGCTTTATCTTTGACGAATGAACAGAAGAAAAACCAGAAACTGGAGGAAAGAGACTACAGAAGTGGAGTTTCTGTTGTCCCCTAAGTCTGAAGGACTCGGTATGCTTCAAACTAACTAGATCACATGACGTCTGTTCAAAATATCAACACTGAAGACGGGGCAAAAAAGTCCAAATGTTTCTGAGGCCTGAACCAGGTCCACTGGATACCTCTGGGTTTAACTGTTGTGGTTTGATCCAGTGTGTAGTGAGGAGGAAGAGGCGCTGAATAAACAGGGACTACAAAACCACTACAGATGACATTTGTGTTCAGTCTGAACAAACCTTTGTTCTTGTGAAAGTCTGATTGAATCAAATATTATTGTGTCTTCATTATATGATGCCATTTTTAACAGCTGTTTGCTTTCTGTTCTGTCAGTAAATGTGTTGCTTTCTGTTTAACTTGCATCCTGCCAGGGTTGGTGCTGTAATAATCTGAGCAGGATACTTGAGACTCGAGTCCTTTTTAATGTTCTCATTAAATTAGTCTACACAAAGAGAAGCTTATTGTTATTTTCAGCTCTGACAGACTGAAAAGACTTCCCACTCGAGTTTCTCCGGTATCTTGTGATGTATTTTCATCCTTAAGATGGACCTTTCTGTCAAGACAAATAAGTAATTGTAATGATTATTCAACATGTTAAATAAATCATTTATTCTTCACGAATTAGTGGTCTTAGTGTGTCTCAATGTGTGTGTTTCCTTTAGTACACTTACATGCAGTACACCGCCAACACTATGTACTTGCTTAGTTCGTTAATTTTGCCAGGGTAATGTCTTAAAAGCCGTGTTTCGACCAAAAGTCCCCAGATCTCTTTTCAAGAAACTAAAAGGTTCCTTCAACCCACTGTTGTGTGCGTTTCCACCATGGTTTAAAGACCTGCAAAGATTAGGCAAATTAACCAGCTGACGGCTGTAGCTGAAGTTGAATAAAAGTTAAATACTAATCTTCTGTCCTGTTACCTCAACGCCTCTTTGTGTTGACTTGTAGTGGCTCCATATGGTGTTCAGGCACTGCAAAGATCTTTCTGGAAGTTTGTTTACAGCATGCTGACCCTGCAATTTAAAAAAAAAAAAACAACAAAAAAAACATTACGATTTTATTATATTTCAAATATTAACAAATATCTGCTGTATTGTTGATCACTTAAATCCTATAGGTGGGTTAAGAATGTAATAGGACACTTGGAAACACCCGAGATGGCTATGAGTGCAAAATGTACTTCAATGTGAGAATAATACTTTGATGTATTTCCCCTAATTCAGCTGTTAAACGTGTAAACTGTGCAGATAAGCTCCAGAAGTGACTCCAGAAAATAGCATTTACACAGCAATCATTTCAAACATACCCCATTTCATGCACTGACGATGTGTCAAAAGAATTGACTCCTGTTGTCCAGCGGCCTTTTTCACCACTCACTGATTTCAGATTAATGTAAAAAGAAAACATCCTGTTTCCACTGACTCATTTCACTTCACAGTGATAGCAGACCACCTCAGGGAGACCCTCTGTCAAAATAAAAACATAACATTGTTACTCATGTTATGTAATGACGCGCTCTTTTATACTACGTCACACTAGGTTTATACTGATACTTAGTAAGTAGTTTATTTGTATAGCACCTTGCACAGATAAAAATCACAAAGTGCTTCACAGTAAAATACAACGTATAAGAAAATTTTAATACAGATGAAAAACATAAGAAATAAAAACCATTAAAACGTGCGTGGCGTGCGCTCTTTTGTTAATGTGAGTTAAAAGCCTTGCAGCAGAGTTCTGAACAGCCTGGAGACGGTAAAGCTCCTTCTTGCTCAAACAAGTAAAAAGACTGTTACAGTAATCTAAACGAGAGGAAATAAAAGCATGAATGATCATCTCCAACTCACCCTTTGACACCAGTGTTCTTAATTTGGATATATTCCTTAGTTGGAAGAAACAGTTTCTGACTAGTTGTTTAGAGTGGTACTCTAAGGACATTGCTGAAACAAAAACAACACCTAAGGTCCTGAAGGTCGGCTGGACAGACGAGCATAAATCACCAATACGCTGTAAATCTGAGGGATTCTACTTTCAGGGGCGATAATCAGTGTTTCTGTTTTCTCTGAGTTCAAAAAACAGGAAGTTGTCACACAACCACTGTTTAATAGGGGTTAAGTTAAAGAAGACAATTTAAGGAACTCGGTTTCCTTGAACGAGCAGTACAGTTGAATATCATCCGCATACAGATGGTAAGATATGTCACTGAATTGACTAATTATCTGTCCTAGAGTAAATATATTAAAGGAAAAGGATGGGTCCCAAGAAAGAACCCTGAGGTTCCCCACACGACAGTCCAGCAGTTTCAGACATGATCTGATTTACATAAACACTAAAGCTGCTACCAGAAAG